CTATGTCCAGTGCTGTAGATCATTTTATATTGATTCAGCCACTCAGTGATAAGGAATGTTTTTACTCAGAGGGAGTGTCCTGAAGAGAATAAGTGTACTTGGAGCACTGGGCTGGGGTTGGGGAGACCGGGTTCTATTTCCAGCTCTTCTACTGGCCTACTGAGTGACCTTAGGGAAGTCACTTCCCCTCTCTGTGTCTGTTTTCTCATCTGTAAAATAGGGATAATGATACTGACCTCCTTTGTAAAGCACTTTGAGAACTACTGATAAAAAGTGCTATATAAGAGCTAGGTATTATCATTGTCCTGGGACCATAGATGCTAGAGAAATAGGATGCTAGCAAATGCACCTTGAGAGACCAAGAATGGAGGGCTTGAATGCAAATGGCATTTGAGAGAGAAGAGAACTGCTGGGAGATGCTGAAAGGGAACTATTGTGCTACTTGGTATCCAATTCAATTCCCTTTGAATTTACTGGGAAATGGATCAGCCTTAGCTAAGACAGTCACAAAGAGGATTCAGTGAAAATGGAAACTTCAGGCTACATTTGTGAAGATGCTCTCTAATTTTGTGACCATATTTTTGCATCTGCAAAATGCAAATGTGCATTGAAATGTGAGGGTAAATGTTAGTATTTATACATTCCGCTACCTGATTACACTCAGAAATGAGGTAATTAATTGGATTTGTTCCCACAGTCAATTTTGCATCCTAACTTCACACTTAATTGCAAAGTAAAGTGCTAGGTTAAGGACCCTTTAAAAAAACAAAACAAAAGCAAACAAAAAAACCCCTTAGTCTGTATGTGGACATAGAAAGAAAGCAGGTCTTCTGTGAGTCATGCTGGGCGTGGAGGGTAATGCTGCTTTCCTGTTCATCTATTCCTATGTGTAAATACAGTTTATTTGACAGTTGCTTCTTGGAGACAATGATTATTCCATTGATGTTAGTAACCAGCATAATATAGCTTTACTGTACTCATTGTAATACAGCACCTGAAAGTGTTTTGATAATAAGACCAGCTCCCTCTTCTGAGGAGTTTACATGTCCTGATTAGCATGCATTGCTGATCATTGACTATGAAACCTTTCATGGGTTCTCAGATCATTTTTATGACTATCATGTCCTGTAGAGCTAGTTGGAAACCAAAATTTCCATTCTTTGGAAAATTAAGACATTTACAAAACATTCATTCAGAATCAGAACAAAAAGCCAAATTCTGGAAATTTCCAATAGAAAAAAAATTCTTTTTTTTTATTTGAAACCATGGCAGTGTTTCATTTTGATAACATTTAGTCATCTTATTTAGACTTTGATATTAAAACATTATTTTTAAAATATGATGTTATATTTAATATAATATACAAGTTGAAACAAAAATAATCAAAATGATAAAGTAAAAATGAAACATTTTGACATTATTGAAACTAAACAAGAAAGTTGAAATTCAACTGTTAGACTTTTCATTGTGAATATTTTGTTGAAATCAACAGATTCCCCCAAACCATCTTGATTTCAACAAAACTGCAATTTGTGATGGAAACTATTCCATCAAAAATTCAACCAGCACTAATCATGTACTTGCTTTAGTTGGCAATTCATCTAGTCTGTTTACCAAAATTAACTACTATAAATTCATAGTCACTTGTCAAATAAAACTCATTTGTGATCATTTGCTAGTCTAGTCCCAGATGACCCAAATGACCGGGGGCTATTAAAGAGTAGAAGATTCAGTTCGGAATGTCTTTGTATTTATGGATTTAAACTAGATTTTTAATGTTCATTGGATGGCTGTAGGAGTGGTATATGTGGCTATTCGCAACCTTCCCTTCAAGACATGAAAAACTCCAAGCTCACCCAGTGCAACTGCTCTTCTTTTTGGTGGCACGATCTGTTTTTGCCCGGTGAATGAGCAGAATTTAATACAAATTTAATACAAAGTGCATGATACTTTCCAGGCCTTTCATTCCTTCCATGGTAATTAGAGACATAAGTACTTTCTTTGCTTCACAAGCTGTGTTTTAAAAAATGAGCATTTAACAAGATTGTCTTCCTATTTTGTGTACTAAAATATTTTTTCCCCTAAAAAGTGCTTATCTATGACACATAACAGAAACACAGCATCTTTTATGATATAAGCTTCTTTTCTTGTCCTTGTTATTAACTTAAAGAAAGATAATGTCCATTTACCTTTTTGTTCTTTTTTTCTGGGTTGTCTTCCACATCCCTATCTGAGTTCCTGAAATTCCTTCTCAAGTTTTCTTTCTCTAAGGGTATGTCTACACCCAGCCGCTAGTTCGGCGGCTGGCAATCGAAGTTCTGGGTTCGACTTATCGCGTCTTGTCTGGACGCGATAAGTCGAACCAGGAAGTGATCGCCGTCGACTGCGGTACTCCAGCTAGACGAGAGGAGTACCGCGGAGTCGACGGGGGAGCCTGCCTGCCGCGTGTGGACCGAGGTAAGTTCGAACTAAGGTACTTCGAACTTCAGCTACGTTATTCACGTAGATGAAGTTACGTACCTTAGTTTGATTTGGGGGTTTAGTGTAGACCAAGCCTAAATTACTAAGTGAAAGCCAGATACTGCAGTCCCTTCTCAGGCAAAACTCCTGAGGAAGTTCAGGAACTACACCAGGCACCTTTAAAAATCTCAGTAGATGCCTATCTGCATCTTTAGGCGCCTAAATACCTTTAACAATCTGGCCCGGTATGCTTAGAGAGAGATATCAATAGTTAGTAGACCTTAATTGATCAGGGGAGTAGCTATTGAATAATTGTATGCAAACTTCTTTTTGCATGCACCAATACTCAAACAGATGCACACTCAATATTGCAGAAGCAATTAGATAATATTGTTTTATTAAAGGCTAACAAAATTGTTGCCAGAATAAGTTATTTTCTTACATAAGCAGTAATAGGGAGTGCCTAAAATGTGAGACAATTTACTCTTTAAAGTACAGAGCTGGAAAAGGAAAAAAATCTGTTTATTGACAAACTATAAAACACAAGATATTGAAACACACCCACCCACACGAGGAAGGAGGAGGAAAATACCTGAATGAAAGTGGTAGAAGTAGAGAAACTAAATGAACCGGCCCTTCTGGCATATGGTAAGAACCTCGCCTTGGTGATGAATCTCATTGTCACAGCCCTCCGTTTTCATCGGCAGTTTCCTTCCCTGCTGGCAAGCCTTCCAGCAAATTTAATTTACATTCACCCTGGCATATCAGCTGACTCCTAAAGCTCTGTGTTTTTCTTGTCACTCCAGTTTATAGAAGGTTCCCACCTGCTGCTAGTTGGTAGGCAGTAGTGGAAAGGAGACAGCAGTGTCTCGAGGCTAAAGTAATTACCCAAAGAGTTAACTTTATGACCAGAGTGTAAATTTGATTTATTTGTTGTGTATGGACCTAGGAACCCTCTCTTCTTGTCAACTGTTTGAAATGGGCCAGCCTCATTATCACTACAAAAGTAATTTTTCCTCCCTTGGAATTCTACTGATAATTAAATTGTCTCATTAGACTGACCCCCCACCTAGTAAGGCAACTCCCATCTTTTCATGTACTATGTATAAATATACCTACTACTGTATTTTCCACTCCATGCATCTGATGAAGTAGGTTTTAGCCACGAAAGCTTATCCCCGAATACATTTGTTAGTCTCTAAGGTACCACAAGGACTCCTCGTTGTTCTCTCTTTATTCTGAATCTGTACATCACCTAGCACAATGGGGTATCAATCCATGACTGAGCTCCTAAGCACTACCACAATATAAATAATAATATATTCATCTTAGCTACACTGTGCATGCTGCTGTAGATAGGATTTCTCTTGTGCACTATCAAGAAAAATCTCAGCAGAGCCATCCTGTTGATCTTCAAGGACTATGATGTCCTTACTGCACAACGGGAAAGGATCAACATGAAATATTCTAGGCAGCATCGCTGTGATGTTCAAATTGACATTCGCTCAACTAAGCCATCATCTCAGCCATGTCACTGAATGTGAACTGCTTCTTTATGCCGCTGCTTCTTAGGTGATACCCGCTAGTACTGTTGCCTTTCAAGCATTTCATTTGAAGTGTACAAAAACTTAAAGGCAAAATGCTAAACAAGGTGAAATTTGAGGATTTTTTTTCACAGTTCATTGCCAAGTAGACAACAGTCCGTTTTACTGAAAAACTGGTCATTTTGCATGGGGTTTTGGCTAAAAAAAATGGGTACTTTCCCCAAGAATGAGCCCATTTCAAAGCAAAAATTGGCCCATTTTAAGTGAAATTTTTAAAATTTGACATTTGAAATTGGACTTTCAACATCTGAAATGTTTTTAATGTTTCTCTGTTAAAATGGGCATTTTAGCAAATTTTACAGCAATGCATGTTTGCATAGCGCCTAACACAACGGGATCCTGCTCTGAGTGGGATCTTTGGGCGCAGCCACGATATAAATATTAGATGACAAAATAAAGCAAAATGTAGAGGGTGCCCAACTGGCAGAGAGGCTAAGTGATTTGCCCAAGGGATTACATGGGAAGTCTGTGGCAGAATAAGGCACTGAAGTTGGGTCTTCCATGTTCTAGGCTAGTGCCCTAATCACTGGGCCATCCTTCCTCTCCCATCTCACTGTACCTCAGTTTCCCATCTGTAAAATGAAGATAGAAATACTTTCTACCTCCTCCCCTTGTTAGTCTTTTTCTAGTTAGGGTATTAGTCTGAGAAAAGAAATAATGGGCTTGATCCTGGGCTGGTGCTGAGCACCACAACTCCCACTGACTTCAGTGAGAACAGAGAACATCAAAGACTCAGAGAATCAGGCCTCAAAGCTAAGCAGAAGCTCACATTTTGTACCAGAGAACACCACATTTACTTAACACATTGCAGTATATATTGTCTTCACGCAGGCATTGCATTTTAGAATGAGTTTATTAAAGCTCTAGACCACCACGATTAATAGGATAACATCCCTGCTTTGTTGGATAATTGCTGTTTTATGTTTCTATTTGCAGTGGATGCAAGGACAAGCGTTGAACAGAATAATGTGGCCGTTTCTTCCCAGAAGACAACAGAGATAAGCTCCACTTCTGATGCAAATGGAAAAAATCTTGGGACTGAGGCCAAGAAACCCATGCCAGCTGCAAAATCTCGTTTTGTCTTTTCTTTTTCACGGCCTGTACCAGGACGTACTGAAGAGCAAGCTACAGACTCATCAGTTGGATCAGCTAAGCTTGATGTCAGTTCAGAGATGCCTGAAGTGAACAAAGCATCAAGTGAGAAAGTAGATAGTCCTGCAACAGCTGTGCTGGAGGAAGGGTCCGATAAAAACCTAAGCCAGGCCCCTTCTGCAGCAGAACTTAGTGACACTGAACTAATAGCATTAGCATCACCTGAGACAGAGGACGCAGCCTCATCAAAGACAAAACAAGTAACTTTCTTTGACAGACTCTTCAAACTGGAAAAGGGGAAGGAGAAAGAAAAGAGTAAGACACAAGTTGAAACCCAAGAGGAAAGCCAGATTGCGGACATTCCTGACGCAGGCATCACAGCGGAAGAGGCTGCTGGATTACAGAGCACACCAAACAATGTCCCACAGGGGAAGGCAAGTGTTTGAATGGGAATATCAATTTCTTCCTTAATGAAATCTCTTAGGATTATTAATGGTGCAGGACAGCATCATGTTCTGATGGTTGTGTGAATCAGGCAGCAAATATTCTTGCTTTGTAGTGTGACTCCCCCACTTATCAGAGAAATCTAACAATCTCTGGAAGACTAATACAAGCTGTGGCATCTGTTTCATGACAAAATTGGTGATGTTTGACCTACAGTTTAAGTTCATTTGTATTTTTACCAAAGACTTGGGCAAGATAGCTATATTCATGCTTCATTAGTCTAGATGATGAACACCAGCTGGCTGCAAGTGGAGCACAAGTGACTTTCATGCTTTAGGAGCTCAGTGTGTGATACTGAATGGTTTTAGGAAATTCTTTAGGCATATTTCACATGAAGCTTATAAAATACTAACTCACTCATTTTATGCACTAGCTACTTATTGCATATCATACATACTAGGTCACAACCTTTAGTGAAGACTAGAATACCGTAGTAACTCTTTGCATTTTGTATATATAGTGCTCTTCATCCAAAGAATGATAATTCTTTAGAATGGATAGGAATGAATTTTAGAGACAGGGAAAATGAAGCATTAAGAAGTTAAGCGACTTGCCCAAGGTCATATGCTAGACAGTAGCAGAGCTGGAAATAGACCTTGACTCTCTTGTGTGCGCTTTATAGATAAGATCTCAGCATTTGAGATAAGCAATTGTTTTGTATCTATAGCAATTGTTCTGACGCTACTGTTGAGTTGCTTTATACTTTGTCTCAAATGTGATGGCTTTTTTTACTCTTCCTGTAGAATAGCGGGTAGTAGCAAGGAGAACGTGCAGTGGTTTATTATTAATGTTATTGTATTTTTTATTTATGAAGGCTGTCAGCACTCTGAAGTAGAATTAGTGGAATGTAGGAGGAAATGTAATCAGAGTTCTTTCTGGTTTAAAATGATTATTAATAGGTTCTTAAACTTAATGGGGCAAATCAACATAGCTTCATTGACTTCAACACAGTAATGCTACTTTACAACAGCTGAGCATCCAGCCCAAACTTTTTCTAAGGGATGAGTTCAGGCTTCATCTGTAAATTTTTACACCATCAAAATTACTAGAGGTTGATTTTGCATATCATGGCACTTCAAGCATGGCTATGTTGCTCAAAGGGCCAGCCCCTCAACAGGTGTGAAGTGGTGTAACTCCACTGTTAGCTTCAATGTGCTAATTTGCATCAGCTGAGAATCTAGCTCAAATATTTTTATGACCTCTGAGGAAAAAAGACATTATAAAAACTGGACAGCTGTTTATCAGAATCTATGGAGGAAAAGGCAATTTTAAGAGCAATTATTATTTTGATGGCTCTAGCATAAGTCCTCTAATTACACTAATGGTGGAATATCACTAACTGCTGCCTTGAGCAGCACTGACCATATCTCTGAATGAGATCTGTTTGGCTTCTGAATATATTACTGCAGTATTGTTTCTAAAATAAGTCTTTCTTTTCCTACTCTGAAATTCATTCTCCCCCCCCCTCCAAGGTTTGCTATCTCAGTTCTGGAGGATCTCAGCCCTAGAATAAATCTATTTATCTTTTTTTTTTTAAGGTTTGCCAGTTTGTTTTAAGATAAGAGTTTGAAAGAATAGAAATTTATTGATAACAAATGTGTTTTTGTGCCTGTCCTTCAAAAATGGTGCACATCACTGGGTATCTCAGACAGCTAATGTATAACATATGGGATATAGTGCCTATGCACACTTGTGTATTTGTGTTCTGACTTGGACTCATGGAATCTAAAATCACTCACTGTTTAAAGCAGAGCTGAATGAATAATCCACAATGAATAATGTGTTCAGTACATATTGCCTTTTCTTTCAGTTTGCAAATTATCCAGGGAAGGACTGATATTCTGCCAGTATTCAAAAATATTTACAAATTTCTTCAAGATTAAGTCTTGGCCTATAGCTGATTAGAATTGCTACCTTTACAGTTTAGTATAAAATTCACAATTCTTGCTTTGTTTGTGACTTTCTTTAGACCAGGCCTATGCCATTTCACTTTACTAGGAATGGTTTGCTCATAGGCAAAACCCCTGAGAGAAGACACAACTTATACCAGAAATAAAGAATGTTTTTAGAGCTATAGCTTATGCCTGTTCCCCAAACAAAATAAGCTATATCAGCAAAACAATGTTGCTGGTATAACTGCATCTACAGTAGGGCTTTTTGCTGGTATAAAAATGTTGTAGGGAATCACACCCCTCTCTGACTGGCAGACACTTCTAGTTGGCCTATGATTCTCTTTTTTTATGTTAAGACTTAAGCAACCACAAAGCACAAATTTCAAATAGCATATTTGATTATAAAATGTGCAGTGTACAGTTCATGCTGTGTTGGTTGGTGCAAGCAGTGAAACGTGAAGCATACATTGTACACTGCAATACATAAACAAAAGTAGCTTTTCACTAGGAATTTGAGTTAAACATTTGCTTCTTGTGAACAAATTCTCACATGTGTAAACCTCAAGCATGCGAGCGTTTGTTAAAAGCAAACATCAATGTATCACAAACACGATCAAATCAAAGTAAATTTTTCCAACTCAAACAATTACACGTTAGAAATGTTTCTTCTATTCCACAGCTCTAGCTTGGATACTTGGACATCTGCTACCCTTACTCATGTTGAATACTACCTTCGACCCCAATCCTGTAACGACCAGTGCAAGTGAAATGAATGGGACTAGTTGGAGTAGTAAAGTTAAGCACATGCATAAGTATTTGCAGGATTTGGGCCTTAGTTTGCATATAATGCCTTTGGAATTCAGTGAAACTGCTTGTGGACTAACTCCCTGAGTCTGCAAATACTCTTAACTTTAAGCATGTGAATGGTCCCAGTGAAGTCACAAATGTGTATAGGTGCTTGTAGGGTAAGGGCCTCAATTGGTACTCAATGTGATAGTGAAACTTCAGCCTTAGCCTTGAATTTCCTGGCATTTCTTTGTATATTTGAGGGACAGAACACAAAAAGGCAGGAGGTGGGGGAGCCTGAGACCTTTTATGATGAGCCAGGAATTAACATTTTAATATAGCCAGATGAAAAGAGGTGATAAAAATGCTGTCAAATTTATAATTATTCTTGAGTTGCTGAGCTTTGCTTTAATTCCACCTGATTAAACTAAGACCTGGCCTCTGTCTTCAAATACATACATACTATGTTTCCTGTAAAACTGGTTACTTTGCATGTATGATGGCAGAAGGATTAAGATTTATAATTACACCAAAAATCTCCCAAACAGCTGTTAATTTAACTTGATTGTGTCTGCACAATGTTACACCATTAAAAAGAAACTCAAGTTATTGCTGTTGGCCATTATCGTTTTTGGTGGATTGTGATTTGTAGCCTCTATAAGAGCCTGTTCAAGTCAAACCATCACTGAGGTTAAGCACCAACAAATAACCAATAACATTGCTGGTAAGCAAAGGATAGACTCCACAGTTTTAGCTTAGGAGTTGCACAAGCATTCAGTGTTTGACAAACCAGTCTTTATTTTCGTGGTCTACAAAACTACATTCACATCACAGCATAATTAAAACAAGGACAGGATTCATGAATTGATGAAGAATTTACTATTTAAGCCAAAGAAAAGATAAATTATTTGCTTGAAATGTTTCACTGAGCCAGGATTCATACAAACAAAAGTGTACATTCTTTTGATATGTTTTTCTAATGACTGAACTAAGATTATAGTATAAGCCCTTAATTACTCAAAAGCTTGGCTCCTTACAGAAATGCATTTACCCAGGAACATTTACCCAGGAACATTTAGCTCCTAATGCTGACTTTCCTCCTATGTTATTTCCAGAGGTTTTTTTCATTAGCATTTGTCTTTGCTGAGCACATTATGGAATGCGCTGATGCAGAAGTTTTTGTGGGTATTTAAATATGGCTCTAGAATGTGAGGTTCTATATTTATTATCGCCTCCTGACTTACGCTGTAAAGGCCTGATGCTGCATTCCTTACTCCAGCAAAATTCCTGTTGAAGGTAGTGCTGGGCCACAATTAAAGCCCCATATCAAGACCCAGGTTTGGGTCTGAGTTTGCAGCTTGAATGCTGATGGAGGCTAATAGTTTAGAAGAAGTACAAAAAGGGTGATTATAGTGCAAAAAAGGTAACTGTGTGTGAAACTGCCCACTGTCCAGAGAAAAAGGTGTATCCTGTGAGTGCAATTTGATTGTTTGCTCCTATGTGCACCTATTTTGCTGATGCAATTTGGTTGCCGCATATGAAAATACGAGCTTAACTATGCAACATGTGTGTGTCTATTGGGGGGAAGAAAGGGTGATAGCGGATTTAGTTGTGCTTTGTGGCATGTTGGGTTTTGAAGTGGCTCTGGGTAGCATGGTGCCTCAGGCTCTTTACATCCTCCACCTCTCTCTACATTGTGTAGTCTGGCTCTCGTAGGAGAGTGTTTCAGGTCAGCAATGAGATGCGTTGGGACGGCTGTAGGAACATAGAATACCTACTCCTAGTTGACCAATGATGGTCGCTAGACAGTCCTGTGTTTGGTTTTGTGTGTGTTTGTGTTTGTCTCTCTCTTTCATTTCTATTTGAGTGTGTGTGAGAGAGACAGAGAGAGAGAAACTCAGGTTAAAGTCACTAAACAATTCTCACTGAAGTTCTTTTGCTGATGTCACCAGTTTCAAGCACTCTGCTGAGGCTAGTTTTGCTTAGTAATGTATATTCTGCATCCTGTTTTTTTGGTCTGGTGCCTCACACTTTACTGTCCCTTTCACATCTGAAGTAGAACTAGCTTTTATCACGTGTCCAGTACCACTATACATGGCATCTTTGGAAGAATGGCCACTGAAACTGGCACAGACTGCATGTGTTTTGCAGGGAACATACTGTTCTTGGAAAGGCTTTGGCCTGTAATTGGCAGCTGTACAAACTATTGTGTCAGGTCCTTGCAAGAAACTTCTAAATAGCCTGTTAAAACG